CTTTGATTTCCATTAAAATTCCACCGTACTGCTACCGTAGCCCTACTGCGAACAGTAGTGAACAAAGTGGACACTACAATTGTGATCAGCACGTGATAACCCCAAAAACAATTTTTCAATGAAAATCCATGAACTTTGATACCTATAGAAAGACCATTGTAATCTTACAGTATAATGTAAAAAACAGAAATAAATCACATTTTAATATCCCCCCCCCGATAATCCTCTGACAAGGGAAGGATATTTGGTGATCGTGGCCGTTTGAAATGCATTTTAAATTATAAGATGCATCCCGAAACGCTGATTCTAACTCTGTACTCGATATTTGCAAAACGATCTTCTGAAGGAAGTTACGAACTTTTTTCGCAAACAGTTTGCGTTGTACGTTGAAACCAACAAATTTGTTCTGGGTACCGTTTGATGCTATTGAAGAAAATCTCAGAGGGAGCGGTCATATCTTAATTATCAAAATTACTAGGAGGACTAATCACCAAAGCTTATGGTCATTAAGAAAGATTCTTGCTCAATAAACAGAACCTTTGAGAATATCATAATCAATTTGGTTAAATTGATCTCTATTACTCCATTCAGGTTATCGTTTCGCAGATATAGAAGACAGTCTTCAAAGCAGCATTAAAATGCGCATTATTCAATATATAACATCTGAACGGCCACGGTCACCAAGTATTATTCCCTTGTGAGCGTATTCTCGGAGACATGTTCCGAACTTTTTCCAGAAAGACTACCATTTCGGACAACACGACCCACGGGCATAGTTGCGATAGGAGGAGTGATGGATCTTACCCCCTTCACTTTGAGGCCAAACTCCCGATGACCCCCTTCACCTAGGCGAGATTGGTATTGTACTCTGAGAATATGATAAAAATCGTATTAAAAGGTTTTGCAGGCTAAGTACCTCAAGCAACAAGTACACTCAAAAATTTACAAAAGGAACGGTATTTATGTTTATTTATATTATTTATTTATCCTCGTAGCGTTCATATGGAGAGCAGAAAGTGTGGACAAAAAGCAGTTGGTTTTTAGAGTACATAAAATCCCTCATATCTCGCGGCACAGAAGACCTAGAAAAAAGTCAACGGCAAAGTCGATTCTCCATGATCTCAGCTTTCGAATGGTATACAGCATGTTAGGGCTTCTTTGCTTCCCGGCTCTAAAAATCATTTGCTCCGGTAACCCATAAAAGCCAACACATTGTATAGGTCGTCCCGAAAGTTCTTGCGCACGATTTTCAAAAATTCATAACTTTGATTTTTCCAACCGATTCGACTGCTTCTATTTTCATATGAAATAGTAAATCATGTTCTTTATGATGACATCTTATCTGCTTACTAATGGTCATCTGTTGCATAGATAAGAGCGATAGAAGAATATTGGTCAAAATTTGAATTTTTCGTGTAAGGTCGTAAAAAATCAGAAACTTGCAACAAAATCGGAGCAGTCGGGATTGTAGGTTCTTTCACCAGCTTTTCTCAACAGTGCAAAGTTTGCGCTGATTAAGGGTCTCTATGAAAAGTTATGATTTTCGAGCAAGCAATACAAAAGGGCGAATTTGGTTTATTTTGGCATTTTTCAGGGAAATCATAATTTTCCATAGAGACGCTCAATCGGCGCAAACTTTGCACTGTTAGAGAGAGCTGGTGAAAGAACCTACAATATTGATTTTTTGTTGCAGGTCTCCTATATTTTATGACCATACACTGAAAATTCAAATTTTGACCATTTTTCTTCTTTCGCTCCTATCTGTGCAACAGATGATCATTACTAAGCACTGAGATGTTATTATAAAGAGCATGACGTACCCTTTCACATAAAACAGTCAAATCGGTTGGAAAAATTAGAAGCTATGAATTTTTGAAAATCGTGCGCAAAAACTTTCGGGACGACCTAATAAGAGCGAGGTAGAGCAAGTTAATAATAAACATGTGCTATGGATTGACATCGTTATTAGCACTAACGAACGTGAGCTAACGCATCTATTAAGCGTGCTTATCGTTGTTGTATGTTTATGTTTTTTTGGTAAAAAATGCGCTTTTGATTGAATTGACAGTTATGCCATCATCAGCACACACTCAAAAAACTATGGGAGATTGGTGAATTTCCACACCTTCACACAAAAACCCGCCCATTTCTGGAATCTATACTCTGTAAACCTAGTAAGAAGGTCACTTTCGTGAAAACGCTCTAGACTCACTCTACCTGATTTGTAGAGAATGGTTTGTTTTAATGAATCAAAAACCTCAAGACATTCAGAAGAACAACATGTTATTAAAATATCCCTCAATGTTTTGGAAAGGTTGGCAGTTTGAAGAGGAAAGGGCAGGCAGAATACTTTACAAAATTGCAGATGACTCGCATGTGTTCCAGTTCAACAGCGAGGCAGAAGGAGAATCTTACGCCGACGAAAATATTGTCGACATTGAAACAGAGTTGACAATTGAGCGAAACTCTCTGATTCCCTACATAAGGATCCAAGCAAATTGCCTAGTTTCAATGAGGAAATGTCCAGGAAGTCCATTGCTGATCTTCAGGTTGCTGAAGATTTCAAGGCTGCTAAATTCACAAACATGGATATGAACAAAAGGAAGATGTTAATACAAAGCATAGCTACTGCTCTTAGATCCCGACTGGAGTGCGAACCCAACTCGGTGCTTTATGCTTTTGGAAGTTATTCGCATTGTGACATTATGACCTACGATATTGAAAGAAAACCAACGTGCAGCATAGTATCTACTTTTTTCGGCTATTCCGCAGATGCTGTTAAAGAAGAAGTTAAGCGGCTTTCTCATCATTTAACAGGACGTATGCCAGAGGAGGTGAAGCCAGAGTTTGACAAGGCCCAAAAAAGTATGCAATATTTCATTCCCGTGTTGCGAAAGCATATGCGATCTCGCTCTTTCCCCATTATTTACCGCAAAAATCTGATGGACTTACTAACAAAGCTAGTTTCCATTCCGACTAGCACGGCAGAAGTGGAGAAAGAATTTTTCTATCTACTTGGTCATCGGAACACAACGCAGAAGTCGTACAACTTTTCTGGACGGTGCACGTGGCACTTCAGAGCATCCAAACTCCTGCACGAGATGTGACAAGACCACCTCTGGCGAAAACATCCCGAGCATATCGGTTGAGTCGGCAGTCGGCACAAATTTCAAGCCTTCCTTTTTAAAACGCACTCAAGTTTCTTGACCGAAAGAATCTATCGCGTCAAACCAAAAATTAGGTTCTGTTTATCAGTTCCAGCTCCACCTTTCTTGCTGTTTGCTTTTGTTCGTTCATGTATTCCAATTCATCAACTTTTCTATTCTTGCTTTCACCATGATCATCCTCGTTTCTCAAGAAAGTTTGTACTATAAAAAATATGAGTTTTCGAAGTTTTTAGATGTTAAATTACCTTTTAAACGGCGTTAGGGACTTCGCGTTAGCAATATAGACATTAGGAATGGGTTGCAAAAGAGTAGAAAGCAAAAGGAATCGAACTTGCAAACAAAAGAGCAGCTCGTCCTACGAGTCTGTACAATTACCACTGCGCTACGAGTCCACCTCCGTTGACGGGAGGGGTGCGAGTACTTATTATGCGTGGCGGCCCCGCGGGGGAATCGAGGGCCATAACTTCGCGTAGAAAACCGGGAAGCAGGCAATAAAGGCGGATATGTACCCAGCCTTCCATGGAGTGTTCAACGGTATAGGGCTTGCTGGGATTGGCCACTTCGAATCTTGACCATTCCCTTGTTTGAAAAAGAAGAAACTTTCAAATCCATTTTCCACTCAGAACGCTTTTGCACGCAATTCTACTTCTACTCCGATGACCTTTTAGAGGAAGAAGAAGATTTTTCAGGCAGCGAACTTGCTGTCTCTGACGTTAGCGATAGTAATATTGTTGATGGTGATGTGCAGGAATTGAAGTTGTTCCTAACTTGCACATCTTTTGGGATAAACCTAGCAATAAGTTATCAACAAACTTTCGCTTTTTGTTGATGCAATGAAACAGGAGCACAGATCTCCACAAAGTCAATTTTTTTAAAAATTTTAATTTCTTTCAAGTTTTTTAAAAAAATTTTGTGCCTAAATAAGGTGCAAATTAGAGCTCTTCATACCACGCTTTTTACCTTTTCTCTCTTCCTTCCCCCCCCCCCTAGACTCACATACCCCCTTCACTCTGAAAGGTCGGAAATAGCCGAGACCCCCTTCACCTGAAGAGAGCCCGGCTCCCCCTATCGCACCTATGCCCACGGGAGTCGTAAGCTTGACAAAGCGAAAAAAGGCTCTGGTCCGAAACAGCAGTGATCGAAAAATTGGCTTTGTCTGAAAGTGTCAAAGAGCGAACATGGCTTTATCAATGTTAGCAATTGGGAGCAATTGCAAAGTGTTCAAATTCCGCGTTGCGAACTTCGATTTACGAAGTATGATCCTAGTTGGCTTAGATTCTACGAAGGACTTTTCGGCAAATGCGCATTCTTGTAATTTTTCTTGTCTTCTCATTTCGCACTCAACAGCATTGATTTTTGTGTGTATGTTCGATGAAATAATCTTAAAAAAAGCTTTTTCTTTCAAAATAATCAGAGCATTGAGTTAAGTAGAAAAATAGACGGTAGAAAATAATTACGAAAACTAGTTTATAACATCCACCATGTCTTGTTTTTGAAACTAGATTCACGACTTTAACGAATTAAACAAGTTTTTTCAGCAACTTTAATTTATAGGTATTGCATTCGGCTGCCAAGATTCGATATTTTTTTAGTTCGAAGCGTCTTCCATTTTGAAGCAAAAATACTCGAAATGCTTGGATAATTAGTTAGCACGTGTTCTATGCTTTTTTATGATTAACAACTTGGGACCAAAGAAGAACAAGTCATGCTCGTCAGACAAAGTGTGCGCTAGCGTCCCGAATACCTTATTTTCACAAGAGAGTCATTGTCCCTTGTTAGACCATTATAGATTGAAATGAAAGGTGTAATTATGTTTCAGAGTAGCTTACAGGAGGGTAATGTCCATATGTTTCCGGATCAACCACTCGCCCGTCAGATTTGGGGTCAAGGCATTCGCATCGTTTCAATTTCTTATTGTATCTAGCCGCTTTATTGCAATATTCTCCGCGTTGTCGCGCTCCTGTGCGAGGGCCTTTTGCACCGCCATCTTTGTTGTCGCCTAGAAAATGATTTGTACAGATTGTATGAAGAAATCCGAACCCTTACCTATTGAACATATAATGGACTTGCGAGCTATCGCTGGAATGTCTATGTAGCCAGACGAAGCCATACCAACTGTGATTCTGGGCGTATCCGAACACATGTTGTCTGGATATCCAATCATCCAGTGATTATCAGCAACCACCTATAATCTCATTGTAGTCTCATGTCATGTCACCGGCTACACGATGTTCTTACGAATGTTGTTCCATTTTTGTCATAGTAGCTCCATTTTTTCCTATTTGTTTCAAAGTACTTTTCTTTTTTACATGCTTTATCTGGCATCATAGTAAAAGAAGGCGCACGCCCCACTGAAACCCTTGCTAAAATAAGTCCAGTCTGAATAAGAAGACATCAGTAGGCATTCGCGATAAATAGTGGACTCACTTTTTTCAGAACTGCAGCAGACTCATCTCTTGTCAAGAAATCGTCGCGAGAAACGGGAAAGCCTTTCCCAAAAACCTTAATATATCTGTCATATTTTTCGGAGGTCCAAAGGTAATTTGAAGGCAGGGCTCGGCAAATCTCAACCTAGTCAAATTTTCGCTTACATGGGGCTATTCAATACCCGATCACGAAAATCCACTTTAGAAAGCTCTAAAACGGGGACAACGAGCGTTTTTCAACCCCTTCCCTTCAAAATTGAACGAGTGGAGCAAGGCTGAATCGTTGCGGAACCCAATGATTATAGCATTGCGGCGGGCAGCCTCCAATGGTGAGAAGGAAGTTGCCAACTCATTCGGGTGCGTGTAAGATTGACTTGCGCGTGTAAATTTGAGAGCAATTTTCTCGACAGGGAAGGCATGCTGTGCAACCGGGATTGCACTGTTTTCACACTTGGACGATAAGGAACCTACTGCGTTAAGATCCTGGATTGTCAAGTTTTGCCGATCCACTGCCTTTAAGCAGTAATCATTACGGCTGACACTACTCAACACTATTTATAGTGCTTAAGAGCGTCAAAAAGTTTATGAGTTGACTGCAATGTGCGCATATTTAACCAACATTGCACGCTTCATGGATTTTTTCGAAGTTTGCTTGAAACTGTTTGGCTTCTACGGCGAACCGTATGTTGAAAGACGCAAAAAGTCGATTCCCATCTTTTCCTTCCATGAAAGCACTTGTTATTCCAATGTCCTCCAAATATTCTCGGTTGTGAGCGAGAGCTGTAAGTCGGAACTAAATTATAGAAGTGTAAGGTGCTAAATTTGAGCAACAGTAGACCCTTATTTAGAGACCCGAAAGAAAGATGACTAAAAGCTGTCTGCTGGGATACTGTCTGCATCTGCAATGCGTACTTTTCTACATAAGCCAATCTCTTCACAATGGTAAGTATCACGCGTTTACTTCAAAAAATGAGAGCTGAAAAGGGAGACGCGACACTTTAGTGATGATCATCTCATGGAGTGAAGGAGTCTGACGCGAAGCTTTGAAGGGGATGGCTCATGCACTTGATTATCCCCACCTTGTTTTTTTCCTCATCATCTTGAGTACCCTAAAATCCCGCCAATAGGTCCGGCCTTATCTGCATTCTTTGACACGAAAAATTGATAAAAAAAATCGCCCTCTGCGCTGCCAGAAGTCTAGCAGATGAATCCTCCCATCAGACCGCAGCAGATCTGCTAGACTTCTGGCAGCGCAGAGGGCGATTTTTTTATCAATTTTTCGTGTCAAAAAATGCAGATAAGGCCGGACTTATTGGCGGGATTTTAGGGTAGTTAATCCACATCAGTAAACAAGAATAAGACATTTATAAATTTGTGACGAGGATTCGGACTGCGTCATCGGACCCCTGGGACATAAATGTGTATACGAGAATCACCTTAATGCTTATCTGGTCACTTCCAGTATCATAATGCTACTATATGTGTCCAAAAACACCAATCGGGCAAAGATTTAGTCCAAAAAAGTGCAGTTGTCCGGAATACGTACGACGCGCTTTGTCTTCTACTTCAATTGCTCTCGCCCAACAATAGCATCTGCTAAATTTAAGTAGGAGAAAAAGTATGTAGAATAACTTCAGTATGAGGTGCAACAGAAAAAAAATGTGATTAAAATACTTTAACGCTTCAAATCTAAACTTTTGAAGAAATGGGAAGTGTGCATCAAAAAGTGATTTCCGTAGTCTCTTCTTTTCAAAAAAATTCCTAAAACTATGCCTGATATCGAAACGGAATGTGAAATGGATTTCAACGACACATTTGCAAGCTAGCTGATTTAATTGAAGCTGCTGTTGTGTATGACGCACTTAAAAGAATTCCTACAGTCAAAGACAATTTTTCATTTTGCAAAGAATGGTTAGTTTCTTTCAGACCTTTGTTCGCATAAAGGCAATGTTTACAAGAACAAAATTTAACAAGAACCAAAAAATGTGTAACTGTTTGTGCCGCAAAGAAAGAATTCGCTTATGGTAATCATGGTCAAAGTTAGGTGTGGCACAGAGGGTAAGGGCATACAGGGAAGCGGGTCGTAATCGAGGCGATACCTATGTTAGCGATAATATAATATTAGGTCGGTTTGAAAGTTCTTTCTCTTTTTACGTCATAAAATCACGTAATACAAAGGCAGGCAAATTGGGCATGGTTCAAAGACCTACCAGACGCAGTTTTTCTTCCTCTTTCCACCAGTCATGTTTTGGGACTATTGCTTTTGCTTTTGTGGTTTCCAATATAACTGCCGGAATTTCAAACTCATGGTTTTTACCATGCCCAATTTTGGAAATTTTTCAAATCTTTATTGTGAACTTCATAGCGTAAACAAAGTGCAATGTGGTAAAATTTTTTTGGCACCTATAGGCTTTCTGATACTATCATATTCCACTTTTGGTCATCGCAAGATCACAGAACATAAACGGCGAGCAAATAAGGTGTCATTCGATGCAGCTTTTTCCCCTCTTTCTGGGGGAGGGAGGGAAGTGTGGAGGCTTTTTTCCTACTCAGTTGGTGGAGTCTTCGGCGATAAAATTACCACAATTAGTGGTTTTGAACCATCCTCAGGCTGTACCTGCAAAATGTCAAATTTGATATTCCGAACGACAAACGCTCTACTGCTCTGTAAAGATAGTGTATAACTAAGATCGAACTTTGCAAGTATCAAATTCCGACAATTTGTTACTACTTAGTGCCTTAGCGTATTTTGCGACTTCGCAAACACTAAATGATGATGCGAGAAAACTACATTGCGTTGCACTTTGCTTACGCAATCTAATCACAACTCCTCCAAAAGATCAAGATGTCGATTTTGAAAAAATGTCAAAGTTGGCCTGGTAAAAAACATGGGTTCGAAATTTCGGCGGTCATCTCAGACACCAAAGGAATGTTCTCAACACATGATTGATGGGGAGAGAAAGAAAAGCTGCGTTTGATAGTCTTTGAACCATTTGCCTATCTTTGTTCCACGTGATTTTATGTTAGGAAACGGAAAGAACTTTCGGACCGACCTAATATTTGCTGATAATTTCGGACAAAGCTTTATGCAAAATAAAGCTCAAATGGCTGAAAGCTAAAATATTGAATTACTGGATACGTCAGCTAACTGCAAGCATGTTGAAGAAGCCCTTTTAAGCCCTAGCCCTATAAGAAACATCGTTTTCGTATTTGCGTGTCCATAACTCCCGTCGAATTTTGGCGAATTCTCAGGTTACCGTTGAGTCGCCCAAGTGAAATTAGTTATTGCGCATAATTTACTTTGAATCAAAGGCAATCATTGTCTCCTCAGCAGCTATAACTCAAACGATCAAACGCTTTACGGAGAACAGCACGAAAGCTGACGAAAAAATGCACATGCACTTTATGCACATGTTCGCAGGCTACGTACTCCGCGTATTCTTCGCAGTCTGATTCAACCTTACTTGTTACCAGAGTTGAGCAAGAGGTCAGGCACAAGTCGCTCGGAAACGACTCTCCTCCCCTCAACCTTCTTCACCTCCGGAACCTCAGAGTGTGACATTCTGAAGAAGACGAGCCTGTCTTTCAGATTTTTTGAACCTTAGGAGAACGTATGATTGGTTTTCTGTGATTGCACATGCAAGTATACGCAATTTGACGGCTGATTTTGATGTGAATGGCCTTATTGAACAAGCCAGAATTTCCCCAGGGGTGAAGTGTTTTGCTCCGAATTTTCGTTGCGGTAAGAAGAGGCTTTGAACTCAATATTTGTACAGGGAGTGGATCGAATTTTGAAATTTGAAGACAAGTTGAGGGAGTCAGGCGCAAGGCTACAAAAGCTCAGGCGGCCTGACCTTTTGAGGTGTTGCGCCTGACCCCATTAACTTTATCTTCAAAGACGCTTCATTTAAGTTTTATATTATGTAATTCGCTAGCACAAATCTCGAACATTCTACAGTAGGTGTTTGAGTTTACCTCGACTTGTGTCGCCTTTGTGGTAATCCGTGGAGTTGACGCGCTCAAGGTGAAAAACGCAATGGTTGGAATATTGGCAGTACTTCTTAATGCACTATTTGAGAGCGATATGAATTCTAATTTCTCGCATATACTGACGGGGAACATTACTTTGTTATGAGCATAAAAAAGCTGACTTCTTTCACTTTTAAAAGCAAGTTAATCACGTTCAAATTTCAGGCCTTTCTGACGATAGAAAACGCTAGAAAATGTAATAGAATAATGGTTGATGCTTCTTGCCTAAGTTATCTCATGTAAGTCGTGATAAATGAACTCCCAGCATTTGCTAGAAATGTGATTACACCGTCAGAAAAGATGAAAACACTCGTAAAAAGTTGCGGTGGAATCAGCTTGCGTGAAAAACCGTTTACGATTTTTGAATTTTTCGGAAAGAATTTTGTCAAATAACATATTTCACAATGGTCCCGTATGCTGGAAATTCTCTAAATCTACAGTAATAAAGAGCGATCGATGATTGGCTCCATACTGTAAACCCAAGTTTAACCTTGCTCTACAAAATAATACAAAATAATACACTTCATTACAAGAGAGTTATTTACAATCGAACTGTAGGTACATTTTTGGGACACCCTTACAATCATTGCCATCAAATATAGTGCAAAAGCTAGCGATCGTGTGGATCGCAAAAATGGCGAGGTCCTTTGATTGGTTCAACTGGGCTTCTACGCCCAGTTAAGAAAGCTGGCCCAGGAAAGTTTTCAAGGACGTGGCTATTTGATAGAGATACACATTGTTTGGGGGTACTTTTGAATGCTGAACTCAAATCTGCATTCCATATAGGCGGAACACTTCCTTTAAAAAAAGTTATGGACGCGTGAGTGTGACAGTTTTGTGCCATTCACAAGTTCACAAGTACGTGTAGTAATTAACGTGCTGGCATTAGGAACGAGTGGCATCGATGTGGTCTGGTAGAGAGCGAACATTTGTGCATTTTGATTGTTAGCTTTGCAAACGTAGTAAATCTGCACTAACCCTGCTGTTGACAGATTGCTGTGTTTCATCCATCTTGTAATGTCATTTCATAGTTTGCTTTGTGTATGAATTTGCAAATAGAATTTATGCAAGCGATCACAATTTATAACAAATACTTTACGCAAGCCTCGATGATTTCGAACGCGTATCGAATTTGCACTAAAACACAAGAGCGCTCTACGCCAGATCTCAACCACTAACCACTCGCTTCTAAAGCCAGCACGTTAGGCACCACTAGCGCCACTGGCGCACCACACCACTGGCGATAACGCACATAACTACCCGTACTTGTGGAAGGTTCAAAGTTGATACTTTTGAGCGCCCACAGCTTCTTCCAGAAAAGCTTTTTGCTGATATGGAAGTAGATTCGAGTAAGCGTTTAAAAATGCTCTATATTATATGCATTCACACCAATAGAAAGTACTGACCTCGAAGAATAAACGCTTTCTCGCTTCTTTTCAAAATGCTTCATTAATGGTCATTTGTTCCTTTGGTTTACAGAATTTTTATTTTTTATTCTACGTTACAAATCTACAAGAATTCCCAAAGATGTAAACACTGTTTAGTTTGATAGCTCTTTTGCATCATGCCATGCTCTTCACCCCACTATCGCTTGGTGGGAGGATTCGAAGAACTGGAGCAGGCCGGTCGCGGCGGAGCACGGCGCCTCAGCTCTTAATTCAATTTTTCGCCTTTCTTTTCCGTTTTTTTGTCGTTGACGGGTAATTTCCGACAATGTTTTTTTAAGACGAAGCTGACTTTTTGTTATTGTT